GTTTTATACATTGTTGGTATTATGCCTGGTTAAACTGTATCGTTTTATACATTGTTGGTATTATGCCTGGTTAAACTGTATCGTTTTATACATTGTTGGTATTATGCCCATAAAGGTGGCTACATGTTTTGCTTACCTCAGAAGTGACTAGAAAGGTACTTATAAATGAAATTCTGTGGTCATGTTTTAACAAGTAATTAAATGTTGTTAGTAGTTTCAAATTATGTGTAGGTGGATATTTTTATACAGTGATATCTGTTCGTTAAGTTTCAGAAAATATATATATATTTTTTTAAGGTTGTCGATTTAAAGACACTCGAAGGAATGTGGACATGGATCTTGGTAAGATTCTTTTCTGTGTTTCAGATTATTCAGATGTTTTTACTGTTTTAATAAGAGGAAATAGGTTATAGTTCAGAGTTATTCTTTTTTTTTTAACAGTTATCTAATAAATAGCAAATACTGTTTCTGCCTGATAGAATCTGCAAACACAGAGAAATGGCTATTAGGAAATGAGAAATGAGTGGTCAATGTTTTGCCCCTCTTTGGAATCCTGATGAATGTCACTTGGCCAAAATAATGGTCACATAATTCCATTTCTTTGTACTTTCATGTGTTTTCAGAAAGTCATACAATTAAGTAACATTTCAGACTGGATATATTGGAAAATGAGTGTGCTGTTTCAGGCCTGAAAATACAGTGATAGAAATACAATAAACCAGTGTGCACTTGATGTTTACTGATTGCACTTCTCTTGTGTAACTGCACCGGATGCAAGGAAACTAGTGTAGTTTAATTAAAACTGCAGGTAAACAACACTTACTCCTCGCGTTTGACATGTAGTAAACAGCCGAGTAAGAGATCACAGTTACCTGTCAAAAGAAGATTTTCAGGCATGCAATTTAGAATATTGGTGCCACTAAACACATATTGTTACTGATACCCCCCTCAAAAAAGGCTGCTTCTGATTATGAATAACACAACAAAGTATCTAGGAAATTTATTAATATTGTCTGTTAAGTTTGTACAAGAAGTCTGTCACATAAAGTTATTGTTAACTTTTATAGTTTGTTTTCATTATTGTACTTGCAAAGTGTAAAGCCATTAGCCATCTGTTCACTGGCTCGATCAAATTGATCACACACCCCACCCCATTATCTGTGAAGCTATACATAATATTTACAACAATTCTGAATTTACTTTGTGTATCTTCAGAAAATTTGGCAAGGTAAATGATACAGGCTTCTTGTACACAGAAGATTAGATATTTTGATAAAGTATTTTTACTAAAGATTTGTCTGTGAATTTACAAATCCTTTATCAAGTCATTCTGAGTGAAAGGTAATTTTCCTGCTAAGAATATAAATACTTCTTTCATCGTACAGTTTTCATATTTAATTTGCTTAAACTCTAGAATCTCCTGAACGAACATCAAAAGATTTTATGGTTTTATTTCCGTACTCTCTATTATATGAGTGGTAATGGTATCTGTCAAACGCAGTTAATCACAGTGGAACCAAACTGGCCATTTCCATAGAGCTAATGAAAATAGCAGGGTCATGTTTGTAAAATGTTTGATGCTTTATTTTACTGAAGTTTTGTTTGGTTAAGCTGTGAAATTTCTCAATTTTTATATCTTAGTTATGTTTGTCAAAAAATATATAACAATAAATCAAATATATACATTAAAATAAGGATCATTAGTACTTACTGCTTAATCAAACTCATTTACGTTTTCCATAAGCATTGTTGAGTGTCACAAGTTTCAAGTATGCATCTTAGAACACAAAAATTGTATTGGTCACAATAATATAATATCCAAAACTACTATAATTTATCTGGCTTTCTGAGTAAACTATTAACTGGTTAAAACAATTCCGTTAACTTTCAGTTAATGGTGGGAAAACTAAATTATGAGTAGTTTATGAGGATCTGCTATTTCTGTTGGTTATAAGCATGTCCAGTTGATTAGCAAACATTCTTGAAAGTCAGAGAAGGGCTTCTTTGGAGGGTTTGACAAAGTTGTAGATAACTTAGAAGGTAGGAGGCTCAAAGTTTAGGTTCTTGCTTCTAATTATGTATAGTTTGTGTTTCTAATTGGTTGAAACTGTAAAAGCTGATTATTGAAGTTAGAAATAAGAAGTTAAAACAAAGATAATACACATAAAATTGGATACAGTTTCCTGCCAAGTTTATTGATATATATTTATTTGACATAATAAAGTCATACTGTAAAGGGTCTTAACATCTCCAATAGAACCAGATCTGATACAATAGATTTCATATCTGTTATTTTTGCTATAGGAACCATATGTGTAGCAATTGAGTATACTTTTATGTTTGGTAATACCATTCATTCATAGCTAAAGTCCCTGATGCTCAGCTACAGTATGTTTCTAGATATATTATCGTTGAAACTTTTCACTTGACAACAGTAAATGACTTAGAATCTTTGACTTTATTTTTCAGAATTTGTAGTGCATACTTGAGGAATTTATAAATTTTGGTAATGAAGTTAGACAAAAACAACCTTGACCTTTATTGTCCAGATAATATAAAAACTATTTCAGTGTGGCTTCATCAGGGCAAGTAGTACAAGAACTGTACCTGTTATACGACTAGCCCTGATGGAGCCACACTGATAATATGTTGGCTGAAATAAAAATATTTTTTTATATAACTATGACATTTGTTTTTTTTTTGACAATATTAAATCAACTAGCAGGTTTAAATAAAAACTATTATTCAACTGTCCTCTTTACTCTTCAGAACAGCTGAAAAGCTTAGAGATTTTGGAAGTATTTGTTTTATGTACCAGTGGAGAATTGAACAAGTACAGAGTTCCAACTTTATTAGAAAAGTATGAACAGCATGGTATTTTATTTCATCATTACCCTTTTCCTGATGGTACACCACCAGAGATCAACTGCTTGATGAAATTAATTGCAGAACTAATCTGCTCACTTAACAGAGGACACAGAGTTTTGATACAGTAAGTATTTATCTAATTTACAGTATCTAGAACAGCAAAGATTTGTTTTTGAAAGATACATACATATGCATGTGTATTTCTCTTGATCCTTTGTTTGTTATATTTTACTCCTCATGTAAGAACAAGCACTGTAAATTAAAAGATAAATTTAATTGGATTTTATCAATAAAAAGGAAAATAAAACTATATGTTCATTAGTTCTTAGTTTAAGGTAAGCCTGGTCAACTGAATGATTGCTGTCAACGTGAATTGCTCAAACAACAGACATTATAAGTAATGGTTAATTTCAGTGTGTTTTTGAGTTATAGTTGTTGTTTTTTTCTTTACAGTTGTTTTGGTGGATTAGGACGATCGTGTGCAGGTAAGTGTTAAATGTAAAAGAGTCTGTAACGACGGTCTTTTGATAGTGTAGCTGTTTTCTACTATTCATCCTTGGTTAATTTACTAAGCAAAAAGTTTTAACACAGAATGAGTATTCATTTACATTAAAAAAAAAAATAGTTGTGCTGAAGTTGATAATTTTTATTTAAGCTCCTAATAAGAAGCCACCATTAACTATTTTGCATAGAACTTCCTTCAACTTGAAAGGAATTCAACTTTGTACCTTAACTTACAAAACATTCTGTGTTACTTCTTTTGTTAAATCAGATTCAAACCATTAATGTAGTGATTAATACACAATACAGTTAGGTTAAATGGTATTTATTAGGTACTTTAGGTCTTGAAAGATAAGTCTAAGTTATTAATCATTTTATTTATATTTTATATACTGTTCATACACACAAATGAAAGAATGATGGGCAACATTTTCAAGAATGTTACTCTACTTTAAAATATATTTTTCATTTCTAACAAATCTGCAAGTGCTCAGAAATCTGTGTGATTCACTTAGAATATATATATATACATATATATATATATGGTTCCTGAGGTTCATGCAAATTCATTAAAAATTTAGGGGGGTCCAACCCATTGTTTGGCAAATTCCCAACTTATCTGAACAGAATATCTAAAGTAACATTGAGAGCAGATGATATGACATGCTTACTGCCACCCCTAAATCTTGTCACGCAGTAACTGGGTTAAAAAAGATGTTTGAGAGCCAGTAGCGAGATTTGCACCATGATGGTATGTAACATGAGATACATGGCTTGCCCTATCAAGCTTGTTGCAAAATAATGCAACTTGTGATTAAACAAGACTGACAAAGATGTATATGTGTGTAATATATGGTATGATATTGTTGTCAGTTTTAGGGAAACAAAACTTGTACGAGTTACAAAAAGGTTATTTGAGTGGAAAAGTTTCATACAGTAACGCTGCACAGTTTTTTAACCAGGCATAATACCAACAATGTATAAAATGATACAGTTTTTTAACCACATGATAAATTAAAATAGCATACATTACTTATCCCTTTCAAGTTTATGTTGTTGAATGTAATTTGAAGTAATTTATAAAAATTTCATTTTATGCCTCAGAGACACCTATCAGACTCTGTTGTCAAGTGTGGATGAAAGTGTAAGAAATTATTCACACTGTAAGTTTGAGAACTTTAATAACTCAAACTGAATTTTCAATATAGAAGCTGAAAAGTCATTACCTTTTCATTGAACCGACACTTGCAGTTCACTAAAGTTCTCAAACCTACTGTGCCTAAAGTTCCACTGGAACAACTGTAGAATTTTATAATTAATTCCTTAAACCTGAGTGGATGCTACCAGCATTCAGTAACATTTATGTCACTCTGGCTGACAACTAATCCAAACCATGTTATTATTCACAAAATCAATAAAGTTGATGTTTTATAAGGTACGGTGATAATTATTAGGAAGTCATGAAAATAATTCCAGCACAATGAGCAACAAATTATGGGTTTAAAGAGTTAATAATGCTAAATCTTGGTACAAGATTTATAACAAACAGTTTTCAAGGTAAGTAGAAAGTGTATGTTTAATTTATCATCTAAGATATAACCACTGAACATTTGATAAGTAATGTATGCTATTGTAATTTATCATGTAAGATATAACCACTGAACATTTGATCAGTAATGTATGCTATTTTAATTTATCATGTAAGATATAACCACTGAACATTTATTATAAACGATCAACCAACTATAACAGTTAGAATATATTGATTAATCAGTTATAACAGACTACAAGTTCATTATGTTATAAACAATCAACCATCTATAACAGTTAGAATATATTGATTCATCAGTTATAACAGACCACAATTATTATAGTTCATTATGTTATAAACGATCAACCAACTATAACAGTTAGAATATATTGATTAATCAGTTATAACAGACTACAAATTCATTGTTATAAACAACCAACCAACTATAACAGTTAGAATATAGTGATTCATCAGTTATAACAGACTACATGCTCATTATATTATAAACGATCAACCAACTATAACAGAATGTATTGATTCATCAGATATAACAGACTACAAGTTCATTATATTATAAACGATCAACCAACTATAATGGTTAGAATATATTGATTCATCAGTTATAACAGACTATATGCTCATTATGTTATAAACGATCAACCAACTATAACAGTTAGAATGTATTGATTAATCAGTTAGGTAACCAATATGTTTATTTTATTTTCATAATTAATCCAATGATATCATACAATTTTACTATCATAGGAGATTTCGGTGAGTCTTAACTTCTGATACTAAACTAACAATACAAAATTATCTTCACAAGTCTAAACATTAATAATAGTGTACAAAAATTAATTTTATAATTTATATGGAAAAATATTAATATAACAAAAGAAAAGTGGAACAGGCTGTTATATACAAAACACATAAAAACCACTTGCTTGCTCCTACTAGTTAATTCTGATTCTCTTGAATAATGTGTTCATCATGTTTTGCATCACAATTATAAATAAGAGTATACACTGTTTGCTGTCTAAGAGAAGTGAAATGACTGCTTCCCAAATGTAAATATATGCAACCAATAAATATGTTTAGCAGTTCTTGTTATCTTATTGAAGAGAACAGTCAGGGAGGACATTAACTGTAGATATTAAAATATGTATATTTTTCAAATGATGTGCTGGAAAATTAATTCATGTTGTGTGTTGATATACTTTACTTTGTAGAGCGATATTAACTATAACGTTTTGTAACTCTTAAGGATCGACCTTTCCGTGATAGGACATCCAGAAACAGTTGCTATTGGCTCATTACCAGGTGGGATTTTGTTTTTAAACATGCAACAAGAGTTAGTTTTTAATTAAAAAGGATTGAATTATAAGTTTCATAGTATTTTGTACAAATATTCTTGTAAATATCTATGCCTTGGTCAGTAAAATGCATTTTCTGTGGCAATATTATTCCTCAGGTGGAATTACAAACATCTGGAAAGGCTGGCTTAAAAAGATTTGTGCTGTTACTGTGATTTAAATTCAATTAAGCTTTTGATAATAGAACATATGGAAATTAAAGGTTATATTTAGTTTGGTTTTAAAGTTCTGGCTGGTTTTGGTGAGAGGAGGGGTGACTGATTGACCTAGTGGCCTTTTACCTATTGGAAATGTTTTATGTTACTATATTTTGGCTGCCAAATTATGGATGTGAGTAAAATTGGCCTACTTCACCTTGACAATCCTGTAAGAGAAAACAACAGCAGTATAATCTCTCTTCAGTGTTATAATGAACATATAGTCTGTTAATTAGCTTCCTTAGCTCATAAGTTACATTTTAGTTTTTATCTATAGAATTAGTTTATGTTTGATCAGAAGTAACCGATAAATACTATCCCTGTTTTGTAAAAACTAATCATTGCACAAGATTAAGTCATAAAAACAAAACTGTAAGAACTCAAGTTTCCAAAAGTGTTTGGGTTATACACTAACTTCAAGCCTAGCTCTTAACTACACATGTTAAAATATCTAATAAGTTCCTGCACATAATGAATTTAAAATATCCTGAAACATCTTGTATGATGCACAGTTAAAAACTTACCAATTAACTTTTAAGGAATCATAACCCTCCTGGAAATCTTCATCTTCTGAGGAGCTTAGCGACATATTTCTTTACAAAAAAAAAAGCAACACAGAAATAAAAGGTTATAATACTGTACACATTTTGCATGAGCAATAACTAGAATGAAGTAACATTTTATAAATGTTTCTGATAACACAAGAACATTCCACTCATTGACGATACAAATTCTATAAGATACCAATCATAAAACAAAAAACATATTCTTCAATTTCATATATAGATAGCATTTCAAAAAATCTTTCATCTCTCATCATCCAGCCCACTTGATGAGCTATGATGATTGACATGGAACAAAATTACTCTAAGGCAATAACTTATGAGAAACAAAGAACAAATTTGAAATGCTATTTCTATATATCTATGATTTAGAACCCAAAATGAACAAATTAAAAGGACTGTGGGAAAAAACAACTGGATTTAATGTGATTTTTAACATAAATTTTAGGCCTGTTAGTTTCTAATTCTAATGCTTTACCAATTTTGACATTTAGATTGTAGCTTCTAAAACGAATAACTACTTTTACATTTTGTTAAAATTTTAAACTATTTTTCCATTGTTCTACTTCTTACAATTTTAAATTAAAGACATCTGGATTGAAAACGTTAGCACTTGTACTTTATATGTCACTATGTTAACCAAATTACTTAAAAAATCAGACAAATATAATTTTAAAAATTATTTGTGGTGACATCTTTCATTTTCAAAAATAACTGAGTATGGGGAAAAAATATGGAGTAGCAATGTCCAATTTAAGTGGGTCCAATATAAACAAACATTAATTTCAATCTATAGTGGCCTACAGGAATGTCGAGAGCCAGCATGGGCCCCGGGGCAAACATCCTCGGTGGGTCCTCTTTCTCTCATTTTTAACATTTTCAAGAATTTAATAAAAAGAAGATCCTAAATTACGACAGTAATGAGCTCATAAACCAAACAAAATCATAGCAGCAGCCGTTTCTACCTCACAGTAAAAACGTTAATAAAGTAACAACAAATATCTATTAAATCTATAAAGTAACAAATACATATTAATTATTACTCAAATTATTATTTCAGTCGTTCTTAATGTATCAAGCGTCTATATGCACAGAAAAGCCAAAAACTATGGTTTTTATCATTAAACGAAGATACAGCTTAAAGATGCTTTGCAGGCTTTACGGTATAACCAGGTTTCATTCTACAGTCTACAGACCACATAGTCTTTTCAATTATTTTTTTTTTTTAACAAAATGGAAGTGCTGAAAATTACTTGGAATAGAAGTCATATTTATTTGGAAATGGAATTTTGAAAAGCCTTCAAGTTCAAAAGTTAAAGAGGTATGTCTGGACACATTTCAAAATTTAAGTTTAATTCTAAATTAATTCATTGAGCGGGATAGAGCGACCCTTTTCCACAGCTTCATGAAAAAATGAGGCTATTTTCAAAGTTTCGTTTTAAGTTATACTCCTTTAGTCAACAGAATGCAGAATAAAAAGAGAAAAAAAAATCCCTCTAACCGCATGTCACCATTCGCCAGTTTACGAAATTACGGTTACTTAATCAACTTCTGACGTTTTGTTATCAATTATTGAATTAAGGAAAGGGTATTAAAATTCTCTACACTTACTTCTTTTCTGTTAAGTTTAATATGTCATATCTCTACAACATTAGCAACGTGTTGACTTTGTTAAACCAGTTAAAATTTATGACAGTCCAAATAAGGAAAAATAACAACAATAATTGAATGTTGAACTGAAACTTACCAAATAATTTGAATTACGTTACGCTAGGCCTACATCGAATTTTATTATAACTTAGCATTTGATTTCAACAGTTTTCGATTTACAACTGGTTAAAACATTCTAAACTAATCTCTAAGGCACCGTAGAGCCATCTGAGCGATATAACAGTTGGAGACTAAAACTGACAAGAGTTGATAAATCAAACTATTTCGAAGAATCTTATTATTATGAAAAATAATAATAAAACATATACATCATTAGTAATTGATTAAATATATAATGAACAACTTACAGCACAATTTTGAATGTATTCGCATTTCTATATAATAAACAGCAATCAGTCCTGTTACCTAAGGCTGATAACATGGACAAAGTATATATAAAAAGAGAAAAAAAGTAGATTATTTGAATAAAAAACGTATTGCTCTTTTTCCTCACCATTCATTCCTCATATATTTTAATGTAATCCATGCAAGCCGTTAAAAAATTCTTGTAATTTACTAATATATGATTTTATATATCTATATAATGAAATTCAGAGTCTGTGTGTCACGTAATTCCTTCTAATCTGCTAGTTGCAC